CACAGGAAGGCCCAGGTAAAAGATTGCTGGTTTGAGACCCAAATCTCTGCGATTTTTACGGTGCCTCCGAGATGAGTGCTGCATACAGAGCTTCCTGTGATGTGGCAGAATTCACTATGACAACACTACAAATAAATCAATGTCAAAGGACTCCATAGCCACAGAAGCATGGTAAAATTCCTGTGTTTATTAGGCTAAACCTGCAGGTCAAGAGCAACAAAAGTGCTAGCACCTGACAAATGCGTGAAGGCCTGTGTGAAAGAAGCTGGTAGTTTCAGTCTGCTTCCTGACAGACAGTTATCTACAACACCCACAGTCACCAGAACTGGCATCTCAGCTAAACAGCCTCAGATACACCAAGGAGCAGAAGCTCTGACTGCAGAAGACAAAGGCCAGAGATCACTATCATATGGCCTCACTTGAGTTAACTCCTCATACACATAAACATGACCTCAAAAACAAGAGAGGTCAGGGGCAGGGCACAAGGGGATGATAGTGGGAATTAAGGATGCTGCAAGCTCAGCTGCTGCACGCTGCTGTGCAGCACAGCACATGCTACCAGGACAGGGATGCACCCGTGCTAAAGTGGCTGCACAACAAAGACCAAAATCCTATTAAGTTTGGGCTCATATCCATCTCCAAGTACCATCTCCAGAGATAAACCAAGTGCCAGGAAAGTTCACACTTCACCTAACTTCAAGCCTTAACTTCAATGGACCTTTAATCACACACCTTGTAAACAGGTTTGTCTTTATCTTCTTCACTCAGATCAAGTGACACAATTTCATAGACTCAGACGTAATGGAGCAGAGTAAATATGCATAAATGCTGCTGCAGTATTATTTTGCACAACAAGGTGGGTTTGTTGTATTTTGTATCCACTGACACTTGTTGAAAAGTTCTGCCAGGTAGAGAACCTTGGGCTTGTCAGAAATGTCTCTATAGGATTTTTCCCAGCTTTTGTGAAGCATCCCCAAGAGGAATAACTGCAGGGGCAACCAAAGCAAAAGTGCCAGTTGGCCTAGCTGTTTTTCTTTGAAGCAATAGTCTTCAAGTCTTCTGTAGGCAGAGGGAAGAACTGCTCAGCATTAGCTAAGCATTTCCATGTTGTCTGTGGGTTCTGACCAGCTGCACCTGACGGGCTCTGCTGACTCCCCAGGCCTGGTTAGAACATGAGGATACCACTATAGTCAGACCTACCTTTTGGCCTCCCATCCCTATAGCTGTTCATTCTGGTTTTAAAGAGAGTTTTACCCAGAGATCCAACAAGTCACTGACAGTTAATTATACAATTATTTAAGGCACACCCTCAGATATCTCTTTTCCCATCTACCCTGCACCAACAGTGATTTTAAGCTCTGAACTAGCTGAAATAGATTAGAAAGCAGGTGGCAAGGCACATAATTATTCTTCCCCACACATGGCTTTTGTGCGGATTTATAAAACACCTGCAACTGCTCCATGGGCTGCTGTCCAAAGCGCTCTGGAGGAGCCGGCTTTATTCACCAGGGCTGTTTCCTCTGTGCCTGCGCAACAACGGTCACGATGCTCTCAGACACCTCTTCACTCGGAGGGTGGCTTCTGTGCATCTGAAATAAACCTTGGCCCATACTGCATGCCCTTCGTTTTCATGGACACACCACCAGTTTCCTACAGCTTTTCGGATGGAGGTACCTACACGGATCTTTAAACTACAAGATGCTTACCTAAGTTGTTAAGATATTGCATAGCACAGGAGTACTTAATTGGAATGGCAACCTTAGGATTCTTTCTGAATATAAGTTACTTCAAGCTTGCTTTTATTAAAGAACAAGTGTCCCTGAAACCATTTATACAAAAAGAACTAAGGGGCAATTTTGCAAGATAGTTAGTGCAGATTTTGCCAAATTTCTTCGAGTCTAAATCATCTGAAGTCTTACAAAACAATTCTATGCCCTGTCCTCAATGAAGACTGCCAATGTCTAAAGGTCTAAAATCCAGATTGAAAGTTAGCAATAGCTTCCCAAGCCCAAACCTTCCTTATGAGGCAACCTATAAATCACAGTAAATGATCATTATGATCAAACTTGGAAATCAAACACCAGGGAAAACACGTTCTTTTCTAATTATTTTTCCTTTACACGCATATACTTGTGAGCAATATAACAAATAGGCAATATAACAAGTATAACAATAAAACAAATGTTTATTTTGCAGAAGTCTTCAATCCTTTTCTCCTAAGTTGGTAAGATATGAGGAACTAAAGCAACATACTTCCAAATACTCCAGTGTACAAAGCCCAGGGCAAAGGAAACATTTTAAAAGGTCCTGTGAATATTTTAAACACAATCAGGTCAAAACAGTACATAGAATCACAAAGGCAGAGCGGAGCAATACCATAAGCGATTAAAATTGAAGTTATTTTTTACAGTCTATAGCAAGTTGGTGTTCACCACATATACTGAAATTTGCTTTCATTTCTTGAGTATTGCTCCTACACAATACGGACAACAAAATCAGATGGGTCAGTCTCATTTTCTGCCCAACATTATCAGATGTAATGAAGCGATACATTGGAAGTATTATTGCATCAAAACAAAATCAATAGAGAAATTTCAAAATCTAACAAGAAAGACGTGGATACTTTGTTGCCTCGGAGGACAATATTCCGTTGTTTCGCAGACTGTCAAATATTCCAGTTCACTTCAACAATTTATTACTTAAACTGCTGAGATTCTGAACCTAAAAATGTTTATCTTTCATATCTTATTGCATTAACCAAAGGTTTTGTTTTTTCTATATTTGCAGCATTTCCTGTAGGCTAACTAGGAATTATTTAAGACAAAATATTGTTATCAAATAACAAAAGCATATATTGTGACTCGAGAATATTGAGCTTTTTAGAGGTAATCAGTGTCTGTGTACACACACACACACACACACATACAGAAAAAAAGAAACTTCTAAGAAAACGTCTCCTGTCACACCAGTTCCATGATTAAAGGTCAGAATAATGAGTATCTGATCACAAATGTAAGCCCCCAGTTTACACCACAGAAATCTAGGTGAAAGCTGCAGTCTGAGGTCCAGAGGAGAGGAGTGACTTCAAGGGGCTTGAGAACCAACCCCAAGTGCAGTGCGGATACACAGGCTGTGAACAAGCCAAACAACAGTGTGGCAAAAATCTAAATAACAAAGGGATTCACGCAGCACAAAACAGTGGATGCTTTCCAGGTCCATGTTCCTCAACATAAGCAATAAGTCACAAGCAAACACTGCAGTATGAATGATAAGGCAATTGCTAATGATCAGCTCAGCTTCCAAACAAACAGCACTTGCAGTCTCTGTCCACCTGGCCAAACGGGGAGGAGTTTTAAGACTCTTTTTTCCATACCCCTGGCACACAAAGGAGCACGGCCCATGCACACCTGGAGACACGCGCCTTTTAGCAGGAAGCGGTGAACGGAGCAACGCCATCCTCACACACCAGCCACTACTGTTCCAGTGCAACAGCAATTCCCAAGCGGCTGCACGGTGAACCAGAGTGGGATCCAGATAGGTACAACCCTTTATGCTTTCTGCACGGGGTGGCTAGAGGAAGGAATAGCAACTCAGTTATATTTAACCCAGACCAGTTCATGCAACCCCACAAACAGATGCACCACCACAAGCGACCGGGTGGTGTGTGGGCTGCCAAAACTGCCACCACTACCAAAAGAAACTCTGACCTAAGGCTGCAGCTGAACAATGTTATAACTAGTCTTCCTTCCTTTTGAATCATAATAATAATAATAATAAAAAAGCGAGCTTCTATTTATTTTCGAGAACACCCTAGAGGAAACACATGCAGAAGGCATCCAAACTACAACCCCTCCTTAGGCAACACAACCATGTAATACTTCAGGTAAGAGCAGTCTTGAAATTCAACATGTTTCAGAACTAACAAACATCAGGCACAGGCCAAGTGGACAGAGGAATAAAGTCAACAGCCTAAGCTCCGCTTCATACTACTAAGTTCAAAGTCAGCTTTGAATTCATTGTTGACTTGATTTTTGATTTTGACTGTGACACGTTAGAGAGACCTTTTGTTCAGCCTACCTACCGATTTGCTTGGGGACATGTAGAAATTGTGCAGTTTAAGGATTGAATCCACTGGAGACTTTGCACGTGAAGAGAGTGAAAAGCAGATATTCCCAGCAGGTTCTGAGAAGCAGCGCCAGCAACTGCTTTACCTGCTACTTTGCCATATTTGGTGAAAAGCAAAATGCAGGGAAAGAAGAAAATTTTCAGGGGGACAAGCAGTTCCCAATATATGTCAAAAGAGCAAGATTTCAAGGTACAACATAGCTGCCCCCCTCCAAAGGTGAAGTGACAAAGACAGCACAGCAGTGATACACAGAAGATCTTCAGCCTGGTCTCAGCTCTTTCATTGCTCAAAATGACATAACACATCAAGTCATTTCAACTCTTCAGGTCAGTTTCCCTTCCGTGCACATGGAATAATACTTCATATTCAAGCGCTTGAGACATGAGGATGCTGTGCTCTACTATGTGTAGTATATTAGGGAGCACTGATTCTCCCTCACCCCGAGCCCCAGTAATGCAATTTTACAAGGAAAGGGGTCGCAGACATTTTGCCCAACAACCTACTGTACAGATGCACAAAGGAGCCTACTATGAAGAAAGACTGGTGGCGGGAAGAAGGAGAAAGATTATTGTTTATGTGATGCTTGAATTTCACACAGAAACTTACCTTTACTATTAAATTAATAACACAATTTCATTATTGTGTTACTTTGATTGATACTGCAATTGTCTCTTTGTCAGCCAGATTTCTTTGTTGTTGTAACAGCAGCGAGAATGAAATCTGTGCCTGAATCCGAAAACTACGCTGTCAAACATTTCCAAAAGAAAATCAGTTTCAAAACACCAATTGTACAGAATATGAAAATAACAACAAGATGACTGAAACAGTCAACTGCAAAATAAGGGTTTACAATGGAGTCCCCCATCTCTCTTACCTCAAGCATAGGGCGGGCACTGTCATGGATTGAAAGAATGTGCGTAATGTTATTCTTACTCAATTGCTCTACATCTCGGGCATCTGTGATAAAGGGAAAAAGGAAGAGAATTTTTTAATCTCCAGAAATAGCCCACTCCCCTTTCCCTTGTGCATGTTGAAAAAAAAAAATGACTAACATTGCTCCATTTCTTCATAAAGTAAAGCAAAACCTTTAATGCAGCTGTTCTACAACACCGCTGTCACAGGGGGAAGGGACAAGAAACATTTCTAACTCCAAAGCAAATTACATGCTATATAAAGAACCAGCTGAAGCATCTAAGGAATGTTTTCTTAAGTCAAAAGTTTCACGTATTTTGCATGTGAAATGTAAGTCTGCATGTATTTCTGTGTGCAGGTGACGGCCATCTGAACAAGTACTCAAACCTGTACAAGAAGCAGCCTGCCTCCCCTGCACCCACAAAGCCCCTTTCAGGGGATATATTCCCACTTGAGGGATTGTGCTTGTGATATCCAAGTCTAAGGAATGAAGCCAAACATATCACTCGAATTAAGAACTGTGTCAACAAGGAACCAGGGTTGGATACCTATTCCTCGTGGACTAGAAGGCAAAGGGGTGCATTTAGCTGACACATAGCATGAAGTCAGAGAATTTGGGAGAATAATGATATCAAATACACAAAAAAGAAATGCTGCAGAAAAGAAGTGTAGTTGTAAAAAGGTGACTCCTAAACCTTTAACCAGAGGGTTTCAGACATTCAAAACTGAAAAGCAAACTGAGGCTACTGAAAGTTTTATGCTAGATATTGTGAAAATATGGTTTTGTTACTATGAGAAAGAAGGTTAAATAGATTATAGTCATTGAGCAACTTTCCCCATCCTTAGCCATTAGCTTTGGCCATTACCTGAAAAAGACCTCCAAGGACCACTAACACCGGTTAAAGCTAGTTTGTACCTATTTACTTTTGACCTTTTCACTTAAGAATGGCACAACCCAACAAGGCAATTACAGCGGTGGTTTTGTGATGTGAACACCTGTCTTCCAAACTAGCCCATACGATCTGTTCACACTAGCCTGGTTGCACACACACACACATAAAAAAAGGGTACTGACCACAAAGGTTTCAAACCGGCTCTCTCTAGGTACAAAAATAACAATAGCATCACCTGTATGTTCTTTATGTATGTGCAAGAGTTCGGTCAGTACCTCTTGCTTTATCTTATTCCACACCACTATAAAGTTTCAATGCCCCCCCTTTTTTTTTTACCTCATAAAAGAAGAGCTGGATATTTAATTACATTGTCCCATAGATGACATCCACACATGAGCACAATATTAAGCAATAAAATTTAAACCAAATCAAATTAAAAGGCTTGTCCAGGGCTAAGAAAATGAAGAGCCAAAACTGCATGGATTTCACATGAAGGTCAAACTTGTATGATTAGGTGCCTCTGTTCAAAATTAACACAAATACTATCTGAAAGAGAATTAAATTCTAGCTTCACAGAACAATTTCAATTTTCTAAGAATTTTAGAGAGAGCATTTCAAAACAGAAATGCTGATGTTTGTGAGGAGAGTTCCTTTAACCCACAAAATCTGCAGATTTAACAGTGTGCAGGAAACCCTGATCTCTCAGGGAACACAGGCAGGCAAAGATTTGGAAGCTCCAGGAGACATCCCAGACATGCTCTCAGTGCTCCCTGTTTTCCAATGGCTAGGGGCAGATTTCAGAGCCTGCTAGCAGGAACTCAGTCTTCATGCATACCCACTCCAACCAGACTCCAGGGCATGGATGAGATGGTGGAAAGCAGCTTGCCATACAAAGCAAACAGCTCTAAAAGGGGATACAAGCTAAAATGCAATTTAACTGCTTTTATCCAGGCCTTTGGGCCCAATGGACACTGTACAACTCCAATGGACTGAAAGATTTCAATTTTTCACTTAACTAAAGATGCTCAAGGCTACATGAATTCAATAAATCAAAACTGTACAATAAGATAGGGAGATTTCAGACACAGGCAGAGAAGGGCTATCCTAGGGCTACATCCCAGGATAAGCAAGCTCTAATATATTTAGGAAACAGTAGCTCAAGTCACAGAATATTGAGAAGAAATTGTCACTGTATTATCTGGATGTAAACCTTAAATAGTTTAACTGGGGAAAAGACCTCTTGTTCTCCTTGGTCCCCATCATAAGTGATTGCAGATAACGCCCCCCGCCCCCCCCGCAAAAAAAAAGATTTCAAAGGCAGCGCAAATGAAGTTTCTTGCCATTCACAGTCTTGTACTATAAGTTTACAAAAGATTTAAGGCACTATGCAGAGGACCACCAAAAGCCAGAAGAGCCACCCTTAACACAGCAATTCTGAATTCTTTATTGTAGTTTAATGCTGTACGGCCACATGCAGTTTCTCATTTGAAGATGACAGCATGAAATACCTCATCTCAGAATTTAAAGAAATTTAGAGTCCATGTAGAGCATCTGCAATAGTCCCTCGCATGTGGGATTATTCTTGACAGTAGGTTGCCTAATATTTTGCTTCATGCAGTAAGAAACTTCCCAGACGATGGGGCCTTTCAGTATTGCCTTCAGGAAATTCTCTCCTCAAAGGAAATCATGCAGTTCACACAAGGGAAGTCTTCCACCTTCACTCACATGCTTGTATTTAGCTTTTCTCACTTAGATTTCATCCTACTACTGCTAGCTTTAATCTCTATGTTGAGAGCTAGACACCTAACCATAAAAGCAGAGTCGTTGAAATGGGACCGGTAGAATCTCAACTCATTTCCCTGTAGCTCTGGAGTCTTCCCGTGCGACTGGGGATGCAAATCACTTCACAGGGGATTGAAACACACTACCAGACCAGCATTTCTGTGATACTGTAGGACACATTAGTGACTGTAGGACCCTAATATTACAGTGATGAAGTCTCATATTTACATACAGTCATCCTCAACTATCCTTCCAATTCTAAAGATGCAAGTGAAAAACAAGATTTCTCCCTTCTTGAAATAGGCAGGTGACAGGTATTGCCTTTGGTATGAGTAGATACCTCTGCTGATAACAGAAAAATACCAAACCATCCTGCCAGGAAAAGAAATAAAAAATACAGTCCCCTATTACTGTAATGTATCTGTAACATTTACCTGTAGTTGAATTTAGAAAATGAAAAATCTTTACAAAGTATACATGAAATAAGCTTGCTCATTTTTGTCACCTTTTTTCCCATTAGCTAGCTAGCACAAACGAAGAGCATCCTTGCTTCTTCCTCCTCCAAATATACAATTTTGATTTTGTTGTTAGTGGAAAAAGCAGGAATATTCTTATAACACAGTAAGCTAATAAGCATTAGGTTCCTTGTATTACATTTTAGTCTCTACATGTTAAAAAGGTACAAGTTGCTTTGAGAAAACAAGTTAGGCTAGGAAGTACAACAGCATTAGGTTTCAGCCTCTCTCTATATAAAGATTACAGACAATTTCACCATCCCTGCATTTGTAAATAGAATCTCTACTCTTCTAGACTTCTAGACTTTATTTTCTGCTCTGGGGACAACTAGAGAGACATTTAAAGGACAACCTCATCTTCAGTGGTGCAGAGCCCTTCAAGCTATCACCACGAATGGCTTCCCAGCTGGAGAGCTGTGTCCCACCACGGAGTTCAGTGGTTCCCCACGTGCAGGGACACACACGTGGGCACACATGGACACACACACACATATGAACAGAAACCGTGGCCCCCCTGCCTACATCTCTTCACATTATGTTCTCATAAATATTTTGTTCCAGCCTCTCAGGAGGACCTTTTCAGGAAATGATAAAGCTGAGAGAGCTGTCTTTTTAATAAGAGTACCTAAAAAGTCTTTATTTAAAAGATGAACCTGGAAAGGGAGTGGTCTCTTCATCCTCTTCTGTTTTCAGGACCTGAAACAAAACCTTAGAAAAGGGAACAAAGACTAAAAGAACAACCCTTATAACAGGAATTAAATGGAAACTTGATCAGAATCACTTGGTGGACACTATCTTCTTATACTCGGTCACAGGACAAATAGAAACTTTCCTGAGTTTCTCCAGCTCACTCACAACACCACTGGACTCTTTGCGGGAACTAAACCTCATATTGTGGCTTTCCCCGTTAAATCAAAAAGCCCCCAAATATTCCATTGGAAAAACCTGAACCTTCCAAATGCAGCTACAAGCAAAGAAGGACACAAGCTCTTCAGTAAATGAACAGAAAGACTCTTGGGTCTCTAGTGCTGACTACTGCAAAACTCTCTCTCTGGATTCAGACAACCACTCATTCAAAACCTTCTATCAAAAGAAATAGTATTTTTTTCTATTGATTCAGAGAAAGAGGCAAAAGAGCGCTCTGCCATATTAGCCTATTAGAGAGCAAAGCTCTTATTTTTATCATGAGCGCAAACACCTTTCAAGATACATCAGGTTTCCAGTACAGAAGGAATGCACAGACACACGCAATCCTATAAAAGAAGAAGAAGAAAAAAAAGTCTTTTGAGGGGATTACACAATTTAATTTCATCTGAAAGGAACAACTGCAAGAAACCAAAAATCACCCTGAACTGGAACTTTCCCCAATTCCCAAGAAATTGCTTCTCAGGACCTTTTGCTGCAAAAGCCTAAGAGAACTTCTAGGTTCTCAAACTAAACTCCCTCTTGGTATTGTACATGGACAGCAATAATTCTTCTTGAATTTTTCTGCCCTCTAGCTGTGCAATCTCACACTCACCTCAGGAACAGAGCACAGTTTTAATGCGATGGGTAGCATCATACACAATGTTATAATAAACATTTAAGCACATGCCTAGATCTGTCCTTTTTTAGAAGAGTTCTGTAAAGACATACTTAAGTCTTGTAAATTCAGCAGCATTTCAGCACATATTTTTGTGCTTTCCGTAAACAGGGTTACATGTAGCTTTCAAATCCTAAAGCCTATAAGGTGTTTACAAAAATCCCTCACATTGTATGTGTCTAAAAGCTTGTGCATCAGCCCACAAAACAACTCCCATCTTCACAACAAATCTGTTCTGCAACAGGTTTTGTGCCTCAGTTTACCTATGAATTAAATGAAGAGAGATTTGCACATCTTCTCCCACAGGTAATCTGTGCATTAACTAGGCCTGAACAGACACTCAGAAGTCCTTTATGTAGAATAAAAACATGACTGAAAATTCAATATTAATGCTACAATCAGCTGCTGAATGTCTCCTCCTTGCCCCTCCAGGACTGCAGCATTCAAAGTCCTTTAACATCCTGCTTTCATTTAGAAGGAGAAGGGCACCGATCTGAAAAAATAACAACAACCCTCCTCAGAGGTTCCCCACGCAACGGGGAGTGCAGATTGGCACTGCAATAACCTAGCTGTGGAAAACCTGCGTGCCCGGGCTCCCCACGCAGTCCATGGGCGAAGGAGAGGCGATCCTGCAGAGGGCAGGTCAGAGCATCGCAGATTCCCCTGGACGCCCTCGCGGAGGCAGCTCTCTCCACGCAGGCTGACCAGCGCGGTGCGCAATGCCAGGGATTCGCTGTTATTCCTCTCCCTGGCTGGAGGCAGCTCCGCTCAGTTAGAGCTAGCTGCCACAAAAAGGACTAGCCAAACTGCTCAACAAGGGTGCACTACAGAAATTCATTTTCTAAACTTACGCCTTTAAAAGTAGCTAGGCATTTCAGCTACCCAAATTGGGATCTTCTAACCAAGCCCAATTGCAAATGCTGCTGTGTATTTCTTAGCAATGATCCCCTTTATGGAAGGCTCAAAATTCATTAGTCACTTTTTGAAAGAGTGCCACAAAGCAGAACATGCCCTAAGAACATGGTAATGAAATACCTCCAGAAAGACTGTAGTGATGAACCAACAGTCTGTTCCAAAATGGGATGACTTCACTGCACAGGCAGTTCATTGCAATTGTTCTTAGGGAAGCGGGTGACAGAAAAAGCCAGAATTATAAAAAATTGCATTTATACTAGTAAAGAGCTGTTACAGCAATCTTCTCTCTTCCTCCCCAGACACAGCTGGTAATTTGAGATATAATGACAGATACTCACTATGGTAGGACATAATGATTAAATGCAATACAAGCAAAGGTCAGAGCAATAAACAAATGAAGAGGGGTTTATTTATTTATTTATTTTTATTAATGCAAGAGCAGACTTCATAACACAGACGCTTAGACCCATCCTCTCTTCTTCCGAGGAGGCAGCTGAAGCATTTCAGCCTGTGCTTTGTTGCAGCCAGGCTTCCAGGGAGCACTGCCTGCTCACCCCGTCCGTGAGCGCGCACACACGAGCTGCCCCACCGTGCACGGCTCGACACAGAGCCGGCCCCGGCGGGAGGGCTCCGGCACGGGCGCTGCCAGAGGTGCCCGCTCACTCCGCTCCCCTTCCGCAGCACCAGACAGACGCTCCAGCCCCGCTTCCCTCCAGTTTCCCCCCTCGGGCGCGCCGTCACAGACTCCCCGGCAGGGCTGCCACAGCAAGAGCGCTGGACTCAGAGCCACGTTCCCTGGGCCTGTCCTGCTCACTCCACCAGGCCGTCTGAAACCTGACGGCATCTCCCATCACACTTCCTCCCACCCTTCCCCACTCCCACTTTACTTAAGCAAACAAATAAATCAAAGCAAAAATAGGCTCAGTCCAAGAGTCTGCACTAACTGACCTTGGCACCCCTCAGAGTCCTGCCTCACCACTGCACCTGAGTGAATACTGGGTGAACAGATATGCAGGCACAAGCCATTTCCTTCCGAGCAGATGTAATGGGAACTGCTGCTAACAGTGCCTCGAGAGCAGGTCATTCATGTGGATGTCTTTATAAAGTTTTTCTGTTTGTTTCATTTTCTAAATATGGTTCTATCATTCCTTACACAAAAAAGTAAACCTCCTGCAAAAGGGAAGGAAAAAAAAAAAAGAAAAACAGAGAAAACAGAGATGAGAGTCTTTGATCTGCAGCACGGATAGCGTGAGCAGCAGTGGTCAGAAAGCAACCTGCAGACCTACCAATCTCACAAGTAGTGATAACAGAACTCCTTGGCAGTTGTTATAAATAACCAGAGTAATGAAAGCGATGAGCAGGGAGCATGCTAAGCCTTTACTTATAAGGAGGGCTTGCAAGAAGCCTTAGGAAGAATCTGCCTGGCTCCCATGCTTGGCTGCTACGCACAGGGCTCATGCAAGCAAGGCCAGTGTCGGGGAAGGCTAACCAAAGCCCGCTCCAAGGAGATGGTGCTCACTTTCCTGCTCTTAAAGCACTTGCAGCGCAGCGCACGGATGAGAGAGCAAGCAAGTTCTTCTTTAAATGGTACCAGAAACGAAGCAGGACAGGGTTAAAGCAGCTGCACAGATGTTAGAGAGTTCTGTAGGCCTGTGAAACAATACTTTAAGACCCCTGATAAGTAACCCTAGAGAGAATGATAAAACTAAGCTTACCTTTAAAGTTGCCAATGAACAAGCCAGGCAGAATCTGTGAGAAAGAAATATAGTATCAAATATAGATATCTTGTGGTAACAAAATTTGACAAAGTTCAATTTGCATACAGGATGGAGCATACTACTTTAGCAGCAGACTACTGTCAAATGCCATTTAAAAAGTGCTGACAACATTTTGTGCATCTTTGCAGCCTCCTCAAACTGCATTACTCTGGGTATGCTGCACTCTGAGCACTTTCCTTGAGAACTCGCTGTTAATCATGTCAGCTTCCCATGCAGCGGTCTCTCTCGAGAGCATTTTGCAAGTGCAAAGTGGGCCTCGCAACCTGCCCTTCCCCCCTGCTGTAGGATAAGAGTTACCCGTATTCGACCAGTGGTGAAACTTCAAGCAGCAAAGGCAAGTGATTTGCCTAAAGCCGCTAAGCAAGCTGGACAGAGCCCTGCAAAACATGAAATCCAGCGAGCGCTTGAGGCGCGAGGCCGCGCAAGCCAGGGCCGCAGCACCGAGGTGCTCCTGAGCGGAGGAAATCACTGCAAGCAGCTACTTGTGCAGTCACAGAGTGAAAACGATGAAAGTCCGTGAGTTGCATTTTCCTCTCACAGAGCTCCCCGCTCGCAGCGACTCCTAGAAGCCGACACCGCGCTCAGTTACGTGACTTTCTTCAACTCGCGGGTTTCAAGGTCAGCCCGAGGAGCAGCCCTGGGCAGCCCGAGGACACGTGTGCAGGTGCAGATGGCTAAACACTGCGACGCTACCCCTCCCACGCTTTCATAACCCTCCCAGCTTGGAAGCAGCACCCAGGACGCATTCAGAAAGAAAATGAAAAAAAAAATAAAGAAAAAAAACATTTTCTGGAAAGAAAAATAGCTGCTCTCTGCCACCTGGAAATGCCTGGCCCACACCCACATCCTTTGAAGGGCCGAGCAGCGGCAGTGAGAGCGCAGGATCCGCCTGCCTCTGGCACGTGCAGAACACACTGCCAGGCAGAGCTGCCAGCAGCAGCTTCCTCAGGCCTTGGCAACACCCTCGTGTCATCACGACTGCAGCAACAACCTCTCGAGTGCAGCTATTTAAAGGGAGGTCTCCACCCACTTCGCTCCCTCCGGCAGCCTAGGAATTCCAAAAGTCACCGAGGACTTTTCATCAGGGATTATCGGCCAAGCACCGGCCTCGCGCCAACCTGCTGCTGAAAGGCAGCCCAGCTCACAACGCTCTGGCCAGCAACCAGCAGAAGGGCCTGCAAAAGAGCTTCACACCCCCTGAATGCTACAGATTGCACCTAATAGCAACTCGGCGTTCACCATCACCTCACTTAGCCTTACAGAAAATAGAGAAGCTGCAAAAACTCGCACAGCCCCTGTAGCTGTGGGATGCACAAATCTTCCTCCTCCTCGGCTTTGCTAGAGGATCCATCCCCACGTGGCGTGTCACGTCGGCTCTGGCCACGGGGTTCAATTCTGCAAACGTTATGAGAAGGCGACTTCTCCGTCGCTCCTGCTATGCCCTGAACTTATTACAAAGCCAGAGAGTATTCAGGCATATTTTTCTTGGTTTCACCAACTCAGTCTTGGAGGGAAATTCAGAAAACCCAAATAATTAAGGGATGGAAGACAATCATAAACTACAGAAAAAAAAGAAAAAGAGAAAAAAAGCTTCTTTAATTCTGTACAAACAGGGGTCAGTAGGTTTTGTACAGATAAGACCATTCTTCCCTATTTTCCCTCCTTTTCCTTGCCCTTCATTTTTCATTTGTAAAAATTCAACTTTCCTATAAAAGTATAAAGAGAAAAAAAGGAGCAGGATAATTCCCAAAGATGGGGCATCAAACAGGGAAAAGCATCCTGGCAACTTCCTGTTCCTCTCCGCACGGGCAAGGGTCACAGCTTTATGGGCCCATTTATCGCTTGCAGCTCTGCCTGGAGGGCACTGGCCCAGGGGAGGAACCGGCAGCCAGAGGCTGCTCTGAAGAGCACAGTCCCCAAGAGCCACTGTTAAGGGCCAACGCCTCCAAACAGCATTTGCTCCAAAGCAAAAACAAGTCTAGCTAGCAAACAATTTCACCACCAAGCTCAAAGGCTCACCCCAACCAGCTCCCTCAAGCTTTAAAGATCAAAAAGAAAAAATAAAATCCTTTCTGATATTTTTAAAGACCAGCCTGGTATTTCCTATCTGTAGCATGAATCTCAACACAACAGCCTACTGCAGACGACAGCATTTTAGACTCCAAGACATTATTTCCACATCAAGTATATGCTCTCAAGAGAGGATGAAAGCTTAAATTCCAGGCACAGTCATTGAGGTTAGACATTATATATTAAAGGGATGCCAAGGCACACTAGGGGAAAAAGGGGCTTTAAAAGGAAGGATTTGTCAACTGTTGTTGAAGGAAAAGTTTGTGCATTATGAAGCCACACTGTATTCTAGATAGAAAATGAGGACACCATGCAACCACGGACAGATGTCACCCCTGTTGTCCTAGTCATTCTAGAAGCAAGAAACATTACTATGGGTGAAAGCTACCTGGAAAGAAGTGAATCTTCATACAGTGCTGACTAATACTTCGGATCTAGACTATGGCTGGGAACTTTCAGCTGTGTCATCTCACACTGCCATCAGTAACTGCAACTCGAAGCTACAGAAAGAAATGAAGGCTGATGGCTTCTAGGGGCGTGTGAGAGAGAAGGGGTGGGAAGCTGAAGAGAAAAAATAAGGTGGTTGTTTTTGTGAACTTTTCAACCACTGCTTTATGAATAAAAACAGTAGCCTCCTTATATCATCCGAAACATTGAGAGAATGACCACGGACTAAATAACAGATGCATGAGACTGCACAACCAAGCAACAAGGACAGCAACGCCTGTCTTCGTTCTCATCTCTTCCGTGAGAACGGCAGGAGGACACCGCGTACAAAGGCAGAGCCCTGCAGTGGACAGCTAACCCTCCTTGTCACTCCTCTTGGAAGACTCGCTTCTCTTGAAAGCGCTTGAACGGCTACCTTTGTCGCCGTCTTTTAATACACAGTTAGTATAAAGCAGCAAACTCCTTGCCCAGTGTCACTTCTAGTGACAGTAGCATCAACTGGTGCCCTGGACAAGTTCACTGCAGCTGACTGGGTTTTCTGTGGAGATGGCAAGAACTTGCAGGAGCGACTGAGCCCGCTTTACGCGCCGGCACAGGGGATTCACATAGATCAGTGGGATGGACTCGCTGCTCATATGGATCAGCACGGCTCCGCTGACTTCCACGGAACTATTTGCACTGGCTGTATCTATCCACACTGATTTACGTTTCTTATGAATCAGCCTCTTGCCTTATCTGCCATTTTTGTAACGATAACACTCAACTCACCCCTTCAAGAAGGATCTGTATGAATAATTGGCATTTAAACGTATCAAGACAAGCAACGACTAAATTCCAGGGAAAACACTTCTCTAAGCATATCTTGCTCACAGAGAAGCAAATCTAAGTACCACAATCTCTAGCATCATCTCAGCTTCTAGCCCTCAGCTTTTAAAGAAAACAGATTCCAACTTGAACTCCGAATGCAAGTTAGACATTAAATATGAAGACAAATCCAGCCACCAGAACAATTTCCTAACAGTCATATCCTATTATTCATTCTGTAAAGATTTAGAAAAGGTAAATATGTAAGATGCTGAAAATTAGCTGTAGTTAAGCAGTAAGTTTGAAGTCAAAGCATGTTCACTAACCAATTTCCCTTTTTTTGAGTAGAATGAGGACAGTATTATGAACTTCAGTTTAATTTGGTGAAAAAAAATCAAGAGGTCTGGATGGGCTTTAGGAAAAAAAAACAAAAACAAACAACAAACACAGCTAATTTTACAAATAAGAAAATTAAGAACAAAATAAAATCTCCCTTACAGAGCATGCCAGGTCTCCAGCCCTAAATGGCCGCATAAAAAGTCCGGTGCAATTAACGCTTGCTATGAAATGCATCAACATCACGTTGCAGAAAAGTAGGAGGGGACCGTGCCACTGAGAAAGGCCCCGCATCCGAGAGCAACAACAGCAGCTGTAGCAATCTCCGGAGCTTTTCCTTCCCGTACGCATCACAGGTCACAACTAATCCTCTTCCCCTAGCTTTAGCACAAAGAGATTCTCTTAAGTGAAATAATCCACCACTGGTTAAGCTGTTTATTTTCTCCTATAATCTGCACATAGCTCCACAACAAAAAAAAAAAAACCGCCGCATTTGGTAACTAAGGTAATTTGTACTGGTAAGACTACACCGGGTCAAGGAACTACCTCCCAGCAGCATTGTTCACAACACCACGTCTCCCTTGGCCCCTCTGGTTATCGCTGACTCATAGGATCAAAAGGAGCAGCTGATCCACGGGCACCTTCTGGAGGGGGCAAATGCAGGACCTACACTCAGGACTCCTAAGAAAAATAAACCCTGATGGCCAGTACCCAATGTTGTCATAGCCTGCTTAGAGGAACCAACTCTTCCAGAATTGCAGAACATTTCGGTGCCTTGATGAAAGCAGTAAGAAGGCAGGTGAAAAAAAAATCCAGGTAGCTAGTGCTATGCTTGTCCAGAAAGCCCCAGCTGGTACATGTCAGGGCAGGACATAACAGAATTAAATTGACCAACCTCGAAGTCACAGATCACCAATTTCTGCTCACATGGTATGACAGGAAGATGTGCTGCAGAGATAGAGCACTAAGCTTCAAAGACTTGGGAATTTTGATTGCAACTTTAGCATTCCTTCTCAGGGCATATTAAGAAGGACAGGAGGACTTTTAACTTTCCAAAACAAAGAAAACTACAAATATCCAAAAGCCTCTCCAGCTGTTTCTTCCTTAGCAGCCACTCCTGGAAGAAGTGTCTTCAGGGGTGATGACATGTCATGATACTGACCTCAGTCTTTCAGAGAAAAGATGGAAAGAAGGATCAAGAGAAGTTCTACTGCCACCCACTAACTCAAGTTAAATTAACCAACCAGACCTCTCCTCCACCTAAAGTTTCTATGTCAATGCATCTGTCCACTGGATGAAGACACTTTACTTCTTCG